TTGTCATTCTGCCGGCAGTCTCTCCAAGGTCCTCGGTGTCTTTGCTCCCTCGGCCTTCAGTCTTATTTCTGCTGGCAAAAGTCTGACCCTTGACACAGCCAGCTCTACACCCTTTCCTCCCATCCCGGCTGCGGTCCCGGCCGGTCCGCGGGGCTGTGGCACTCCCCTCTCTCCTCTGCCGGGTCTCGTGCGTTCTCTCCAGCGGGCCATTTGAACCTCCTTCTGGACCCCCGCCCACCTCCCTTCCCCTCCCTCAACCTCGGCTGGCATCCTTACCTGCTGGGTCCCACAAATGGAAAAGATTCAGCTGCTTGCCAGCTGAAATTTGCCACGCCTCAAAACGTAATGGTAGTAGTTTGGTTTGTTTTTTTTTTTTAATGTTTATTTATTTTTGAGAGAGAGAGAGAGAGACAGACACAGAGTCCGAAGCAGGCTTCAGGCTCTGAGCTGACGCGGGGCTTGAACCCACAGACCACGAGATCATGACCTGAGCCGAAGTCGGACGCTCACCCAACTGAGCCACCCAGGCACCCCAAAATGTAATGGTATTAGTATCTTCGCTGACTCTTCTCCTGTTACCATGAAAGGGCCGTGCTCTGGACTTGTGTCCTATGGAGTGTCTTCTCTCCTGTAACTTCATCCTCTCTGCTTCTAAGGATGCTCAAGGCTGCCTCATCTTTAGAAAGATGACGTTCATACACCCTTCTAGCCCCATGTCCCCTGTGCTGTCCTGGTCAAAGGTGTGCTGCTGTCACTCAGCTTCTTGACCCTGGGACCCGCACCTTATTCATGGCACATACGACCAGTAAAATTGAGTAAGAGGCCATGGTCCCTGACCTTCCCTCCAGGGTGAAGTAAACAGATTCCAAGCAAGTTGCCAAGTTTGGAACCCTCACGTAGGTTCCGAGAAATGAACGTTGACCTTTTTCTTATGCAAGGCTTCTTTATCCTGGTTCCTACTCATACATCCTTTTGAGCGAAAATGTCAGTGATGGACGAATCAAGACGGCGTGGACGTGTCGTTACTAGATTTACTCCCCACGCAGCAGGGTTTCAAAGGCGGAGAAGCTCTCCGTGATGTCAGTTCAGGATGTGGCCACGGGCTGAGCTGCGGTGTCGGTGGGCACACGCAGAGCCCAGGGCCGGTGAGGTAAAGCGTAGCCAGGGGAGGCCCACGTGTGGTCTGACCTGTTTCGTGCTGGGAGGAGTCTGGAGAGGACTTCGGGATGGGCCGTGCGGCAAGAAGCCTCATTTGTCGGCCATTCAGGGTTGCATGTGGATCACTGTATCCTCCCTCCTCCCTAAACCACCTCACGTTTGACGTTTTTGCTGGTGGGGTCAACCACCCATGACCTCTTCCTGTAACAGCCTTCTCATGAGCACACGCTCAGTTCTCCTGCTGGGACCTTTTCCCTGTGTCAGCAGATGGGAGAGAAAATGCATCGCGTGGTTCCGTGAAATAAGCCATATCGGTTGATCTTACATGATTTTATACATTAATTTAAGATATAAAAAGGGACGACTGTGGGATCTCCTGTGGAAGCCTGTGGCTGCCATATAGTTGGGGTAAATTCATGTCCATGAGTGTTCCGTGTTCTAGGCGATGTCCTCAGAAACACGGTCTCATGGCCCCGGTTCTGCCTGTATTCCCGACACTTCGGTTGTGGGAAGTGGCATTCTCCCGGTGTGCTGGCGCATAAAGACGCCTGTGTGATGTACACATCATCGTCCACGAGAGGAGTGTGTCTCTTCCTTCGTTTGAAGCACGTTTTCTCTCCTCAGCTTTCCGCGTGTGTGTTGGCGAACATCTCCAGTGTTTTGGGGATTGAATGTGACCTTACGGGAAGTTTCCTCTTCGCAGGGATCTTTGGCAGGTGCTCGTGACAGATGTGTATCTTCAAATGAAACGATGATCCGTGTGCTTTAAAACTGGAGGACTCACGGGCAAGGGAGACATTATTTTCCCATAACTCCCTAATGGCAGAAATTTTGTGGAAGGTGCCTCCCATGATTAACTTCAGGTCTTCCAACTTTTTCTTTTCCCCAGTTGCCTGGAACATAAAAAAAAAAAAAAAAAAAAAAAAAAAAAAAAAAAAAAAAAAAAGGATTGGTGCTCTGCTGATTAGACCAGTGCCTGAAATGAAGGAGCATATTTTGGAAGGCCTGGGATGGATGGTTTAATGCTTTAGCAGGAGTCCGTCCTGTGCACAGCTTCAGGACTGAGGGACAAATCAGAAAGATCATTTAGGGGGTGCCTGGGTGGCTCAGTCGGGCATCTGACTTCAGCTCAGGTCATGATACCACATTCCATGAGTTCGAGCCCCGCGTCGGGCTCTGTGCTGACAGCTCGGAGCCTGGGGCCTGCTTCGGATTCCGTGTCTCCCTCTCTCTGCCCCTTTTCTGTTCAGGGAAACAAGTCAGGGAGGCACAGTGTGGCTGAAGACAGCAGACCAGTTGTGCTTACTGGCTTCCTTCCCCCTCTGAGGGACATTGGATTTCTTTTCCCTACTTTTGACATTGACTTTGAAGGTATTTGGAAAGAGTTAAGATGAAAATAGTTGTTGCGAGTCAGAGACCGGCCTGTGCTGAGCTCGGCACTCGTCAGCCACGTGACTGAGAAGGGCGCTGGTCTTCCCCCATCAGACACACTGGGGAGGTCGGACAGGCTTCTGTGTTACAGGGCTCCTCGAGCCTTTACTAGGGTGTATGTGCGTGGTGAGCCTCTTCCTCACCCCTCCACCCCGCCACTGCGTTTCCCAAAGGGTTTTGATCACGCACTCTTTTTCCCACGTATGCAAGTGAAAACACTTGGTGTGTCCCTCGCTTTCTGTTGCTTTCTAGATCTGGACTTGCTGTCCCTGCGTGAGTTTCAGGGGGTCTGGATTTAGATGCCTCATTAGAGGAGTACAGACAGACAGATGGCTAGAGAGATAGGTATGTTTGTTTTTTCTGGGTGTTACTCGAAGTTCTGTAACCCCCGTAAAAGGCAAGAGCCCGAGGAAGGAAGCCCGAGGTTTCTCTGGGAGTGCATTTTTAAATTCTGTGAAGAACCTGACAGCAGACACGGTCTCTGCAAGTTCTGGATCCGGTCCGGGTATTCCCGGGCGTCAAGGTGCTTACGGTTGTCCCACACTGGAGTCTGGAGTTCATCCAAATGAACGAGCCAGGGTTCCCCAGCTGCACAGCATAAAGGAGTCAAGACCTCCGTGTCAGACAGACCTGGGCGTGTTTCCGGCCAGCTACTCAGTGGCCTTGGGTACCTCTCCTCCCTTCGGGGGCGTGCTTATCTAGGAAATGAAGGGTTAGGCTAGGACAATGCAGAGAGATTCTAGGCGTCTCACGGCTTCTGTTTCACGTGGCGGGAGCTGATAGGACCCTGGACTCCCTTGCCGCTGCTCATTTTCCTCTGGCTTATTCTATAGAGGGCGTGGGCTTATCCCAGAGGGTGCTGTGAGTCCTGACAGTAAGGCCCCACTGAGGCCCAGGGGCCACTGCCCCAGGGCCCGGGGTCTTTGACAGCTTTGGTCTTCTTTGGAGCTGTCCAGGTCCTCTGTCTGCTTGGAGCCCTCCCCGGTGGGGGCAGCGGAGCCAGAAATCCGTATAAAGCAATTTGCACGAGAAGACCGGGAACACGTTGCGGGTGGGGATGTGTAAGAAGCAGCCTGTTGCTAATTGATGGCGGTCTCTCCCACTGAGCCCCAGTGCACCTTGGAGTCCTTAACCCGGTGCTCAGAAGTCCCCGACCGGTGGAGTCTGGGCAGGAGAGATGACCTTGGTGCCGTCCTGAGTGGGGTGGTTAAAGTATGTGTTCGGAGTCTGCCAGGTTTAACTGCCACACGACCATTTGAAACTCTTTGATCTCGGGCGGTTTACCTTGGATTGCATTCTACCTAGAAGTCCTTGAGAAGGACGCTTAGCTCTTCTGTGCCCGAGTTTCCCGCTCTGTGAAATCGGGCTCGTGGCAGCGACAACCTCAAAGGGCGGTGGGCTGGTAAACGCAGGACAGTGTGTGTAGAATGCTTGGGGCGGAGCCAGGCCCTGAGAGTCCAAGGACATGGGCCCTGGCTGTGCCCCTTGTGGTGGTGGCCACTCTTAGCCCCGTCCCCTGGGGCGCAAGGCACGTCGTCAGGGTGTTCCAGCTGGATGGGGGGGAAACGGGTCTAAATGGCCTTCCAGGTGTAAATCTGGCCCTTGGGTTCCGGAGTGGTTCTGGAGCCCGTGGTTTCTCTAATTGTGATCTGGCATGACATGTCTGTGCCCTGGGGTGACTCATCGTCCTGGCCTGTCTGGAACTGACTTAGGGGTGTTAATGGGATGTGGGACTGACTTGGGGTTTGATAGAACAGGGACTTTCAGGGCTTGGGACAAATCGCATGGTCATCACCCTCCTAAAAGCTGAATGGTCTTCTTCCTCGTGAGGCCTCAAGGGGGTGATCCGCGTGTGCACGCGGCACGTAGCGCACCGCTCGACGCGTCGTGACTCCCCGGATTTGCGTGTCTAAGTCTCAGATGCACACCCTGCTCTCTGCGAGCTTGTAGGGAAGCCGTGGCCACGTGCTTTGTGTCTTTTTGAGTCGGCATTTCCTGTTTGGGCCCCTCTTGACCAGCTTTTACACCCAGGCGTTGTTTTCTGCCGGTCTCGACTTCCAACCTGTAGAGTGAATGTGGTAATAATGTTCACCTCACGGGGCCCTGCTGAGGGTTCGGTAACGTGGGATTGCGCGTCCTGAGGCACGTCTAGCACAGTGCCTGGCTCACAGAAGCCCTTAGTAAGTGGCCCCTTCTAGAAGAACGAAGTCCGGCAACGTTAGGGAGAGATGCCCCTTGGGGTCGGAGGTCCGTCAGTGGGAACCCCCACGTCGGGGCGACGTTGGTGGGTCGACCTGTTTGGCTTCTTTAGCTCTATTGTGTCTCCCGGCCCCTTTCTCATTGTGAATGCCTGGGAGGGAGCGCTGTGTGCCCGCACAACGGAAAATGTGTGTTTTCTGGCTCCGTTGTAGGTGGTGAGGACTACCTGATTAACCTCATAGACTCTCCAGGACACGTGGACTTCTCTTCCGAGGTGTCCACAGCCGTGCGCGTGTGTGACGGCTGCATCATCGTGGTCGATGCTGTGGAAGGAGTCTGCCCACAGGTAGGAGGTCCTGATGTGGGGATCTGTCACTGGGTGAGGAGGG